ACTCCCCCCACCTCTGCCCTCCACACCCACACACACACCCACACACGCCCACACACACACACACACACCTCCCCAACCAACCTGCCCACATCCCACCACACCCCACACACACATCTTACCCGCGTCCTTCCCCACCAACCGCGACGGGTGTACCCCTATCCCCCCCCCCCCCCCCACCCACCAACCGGCCATGGCGAGCCGTGGGCAAGGAGACGATGCAGAGGAACAAGGCATGGCGGAAGGGAACAACTCGAGGTTCCATACGGCCGGATGCACGCTGTTTACCACACCAGAATCACTTACTCTGTCTCGGTTAGTCGGCCACGATCCGCTGCCGGATGATGTGTTGCCGTCAGATGGTCAACATCCGGAGCTGCCCGAGGTGTGGATGGATCCAGATGATGGCCTGCTCTCAGTGGCCAACGTTGCAGAGAACGTCTGTCTTGTCGCCTACCTTACCATTCTGCCACCGTTTGTTGTTGTCGATGCCGACGGCGATCGCTATCCCTCGGCCCCGGCACAGACCGCAGACGCGGACGGTCCCATCGATGTCACCACACTCGTTGTTGTCGTCCCTCCGACTAGCGTCGTGGACCTCGGTTATGTCGAGCACGTCGACGTGGATGCTGGTCTTGACCCCCGCCGCTTTTTGACGATCCGGATGCAGTGCTCGAGGCCTACACTGCCGCGCTGGTCTCGGACATCTCGGAGCTGGCGGTGGCCGACTGGGCCGACGCCTGCCACGGCGCGCTGGCACTGCGCCAGCCCGAGGCTCTCGATGCGTATGTGGCGAGCTGCGGAGGTGATGTGTACCCTCTGCCAATGGAGGTGCCGCCAAGCGCAGCCCCGGGGACGTACTGCTGCTCGCAGGGCGTGTGCGGCGCCTTTACTCACTTTCTTCCGCACACTCGGCACGCGTATGACCTTGCATGTCCAGCGGGTACACCATTGCGTGCCATTGCTGCTGGCACGGTCGCTTCCGTCCGCGACGGCTCCAAGGCGTGGGGTGGCCACACCGGCAACCTCTTTGGCTGGAATTCGATCTTGATTGCCCTCGACAATGGCCGCTTTGTTGAATATGTCCACATCGCACCGGGCTCGCTGACCGTGGCCGTCGGCGATGCCGTCGCCGCCGGCGACGTCATCTGCGCCTCGGGCCAAGCTGGCTTCTGCCCCTCGCCACACCTCCACATCCAGCTCCACAGCTCGGACGCTCCCGATGCACCGACCATTCCGTTTTGCTTCCTCCACCCCTCCTCGAACGCTCCGTACGTTCCGATCGCTGGCCACGACCTGCCGCCCACCACCGCGACGCCCCTCTCCCTCCCCGCAGCAGGCGAGATCACGCCACCGTCGCCGTCGCCGCTCTCCGACCGATAACACGACACAGCACGCTAGAACATAGCCAACCGTGCAGTCCAGCCCTTCACTTCCGTGGTCCATCTCCTTTCTCTCTAACCCAAGCTAGATCTCATCGAGCTCGCCAATCAAGCCCTTGTCCCTTGCCGTCGAAGCGACACCAGACAACCGAGATGACTGCCATCCCCCTCCCCTCCCCGCCTTCCCCCCTCAAAAGGGGGTCAAATTTTTTATCACATACACCCCCCACACCCCCCCCCCCCCCCCCCACCCCACCCCCAGCGCCACCCACCCACAAACACAAACACATACAACCATACACAACATAAGTCACCACCATCCCCATCCCCATCCCCATCCCCATCCCCATCCCCATCCCACCGCCCACACGCACC